CTAGAGAGTTTCTGAGGGGGATCAGACACACATCCAGACAATCAAACCACAAGTCTGGGTACAAACCAACAAATCTCTGTACATTCTCTACAAGGCGATTCCAACTTTCATCTAGAGATGAACAAGAATATAAAAACGAGTGCAAAGAAAAACCTTGTTATATTTTATATAAAAACATATTAATTGATACAAAATTTATATGTTGTATTTATCATTTGTATTCTTTTAAATAAAAGGTGCATCGATGTAATCAAGAAATAGAAAAAAGAATATCTATTTCCTTTTTTTCTTGAACTGAAGTATAAACTCAACAGACCTTAATAATGGAATTAACGTTTAGGTATTCATACATTACAATAGAGACCAGATTATCATGAACTAAAATTGTGTAAAAGGCTAATTTAAAGGAGACTGAGAGGCACCACTTGTTAGCTCACTGCTTTTAGTAAATCTCTTACATATCCCTGTTTTGAGCATCTATTAATTATTTTGAAATTAATTAAATTTAAATTCCCAAAATAATTTATTTTTTTAATTCAATAGATATACTTTAACAAGAGTTAATTTTTTTTTTAAATATGTATACTTCATTTCAATAAAAGAAAGGCCTTAAATGATTAACTTTTTGTGAATATATTTCTTCTAAATATTTATAAAAACTGCAAAAATATGATCATGTACTAACCCATAGGGTTGACGCTCTCCTTAGAAATGAAAACATTATAGAGATGTAGATTGTGACAGATCCCTCCTGGATCCACAGCCTGCATTTTGGTGACATCATTTTCTAGTATTATCAGCTGTTCCATTACACCATACCTAGAAAAAATAATAATCTTTTAAATAGGACCACACACACAAAAAGTGATGTCTTGGTGCTTTGTATGCCAGAATTTTTTATTTTTTCTCTTGTGGCTAAAGTATGGCGAGTTTGAAGAAATAGCATATATTGCATTTCAGCTACTAAAATTAAAATTCATTGAATATAAGCTGTTAATAAAAACATAAAAATATAAATCCAAATATTTAAAGCCTCGCTGGGGTATTTAGTTACAGTATTAAAGAAATGTTTTTAATTTTAAAATTTTATTTTCCCTTTTAGAAATTCATACCTGGCAATGAGCTTCAAACAAAACTGTGACACTGTTTTTTCATTGATCTTGTCCAACCTGCAAGTCTCTGGCCATTTGGAGAAGGAGTCCAAAGAGGCTATAACATAAACTGACCTTTTCTTTTTGTAAGCAAATGGGCCAAGTATTTGAATCTCCACCTACCAATAGAAATAAATAACAGATTTGGTAAGCAAGGTCTTAATCTTAAAAAAACCTCCAAAGTATAGGCCAATATGACACATCATTAAGAAATAGCATCAGCGGGCCGTCGAGCTTGCGCTCTTTATGCCCTCCCCAAAACACCCCTCACCAACCCGGTATCGGGCCGCGGAGCGGCACGTCGGAGATGTCTCTTTGTCAGGTGAGCCCCATACCCGAGTCTGCTCAACCAGGTCTCCACCGGGGGCCATCCCAACCCAAAGACATGTCGGTCCGACACTGTGTTTGCACACGATCCACTTTCTCAGGAGTCGGGATGGAAAATTTTACATCCTAATATATTCCCCCACCCATCCCGGGGAAGCGTTAGATGCCCTATTAGAGGGATTCCACAGTGGGTTTCCACAACGCAACTAATTTGCGATGTAGCTGGGACAAAACGGTTGCCTTGGAGCAGCTTCTAAGGGCTGCATTGTAAGAATCATCGGCTAGAGGTTACCACCTCCGCCTCTCGCCTCATATCCATTAACGGCAACTTGTAATCATGATCACTACCCTGTCTCTGACTATTTTTCCAGCTGTGAAGTATCACAACTGGCAGCCCTGTGGGAGCTGTTTTATGTACGGCAGGTACCGAGCACACCCCTTGTCTGCCCACGGGGGGCGTGCCCAGTAGATTTGTCCCCCGGGTAACGACGAGGGGGTCGGTGGCCGACGCCTCCTAATCGACAAGCCAACACAGGCTTGTCAACCGGAGAACCGGGGGGAGACACATCATATAAATGATTAGATTTCATATAATAAATTATTTCTTTACATGATTATGTATTGTACAGACCAACTTAACAAGTATTTTCAAATATTTGTGTTTTGATATAATAGAATTAAAGTTATAGTAATTTCAATGTCACCAAACAAATTCTATTTATACAAAGGCTTACCTGTTTATATTTACTCACCTTTTGCCAAAATCTGTGAGCAATGTCAAAGTCAGATCTTGGATTAAAAACTGCATCAGTCACAGCACAATTTGGGTCAAAGTCAAGGTCAGAGTCCACTTGTTCTGGTTGAGGCAGCTCAGCTGTTACAATGTATTGCATCACTTCAGGGGCCTCATCAGGTTTGCTGACATGGTGATCTGGTTCTTTGTAGAGTTCCTGTTTCTCCGCCACCATTTCATTATTATTATGCATTGATAACTCTTCACTAACTTGAGCAAAAGAATTTGACTGAGCCGATGGTGGGCGTACTTTTGAAAGGGCAGGACGATTGGCTAGACAAATCACACAGTTCTTGAGCACTTTCCTGACTGTATTAGCCATGCCCACCCAATAATACTTGGAGGACAAAGCACTAAAGGTTCGTTCAGTCCCCATATGAGTGCCTGAAAAGGTGAACCAAACAAATAATAAATACTTTAATAAATCATTCTCTTAATAGATAGAAAATACATAGAATCTTGGTAACCTAGACATATGGCTTTGTAATATCAGTGTGAATCTTAAAATGCTTTGGTCTATTAGTTTAGGTCGTTTAGCATAACTTTATATAAAAGAAAGAAATTGATGAAGCAACTTCACTAACGAAGACGAAACCTCTTACACATTATCTATGCATTAAAAAAGTAATGGTTATGAGACCCAAGTCCTTTCTATAATTATTTACTATACCCTTTAAATTCAAGCCCAAGCAAATAATTATTAAAAATAAGTGTTATTAAATTGACCATGTAAAAACAGAATGAAATCTTAGTTTTAGTATAAATTAAAGTATTTAACTATCAATTTGAGAAAATCATAGTCATGATTTTCTCAAATTGATAGTTAAATACTTTAATTATCAATT